CATTTGGTGTATCATTGTGTGAAGTACACTCTGTGTTAAAAGATGAAAATCCTTGATTGATTATATTCTTAGATGTTAAACTCTTTTCCAGATATGTGTTCTTTACATATTTTGTGGCATCCATTTCTGTTGCTAATATTCTTTTAACAATCTTGCCTTGTTTTCTTACTCTCATGAATACAGTAATAGTGTATCCACTATGAAATAGTATTTTATAACATAAGGAAAATATTTTCTATATTATCCAAATGAAATTAAACTGCATACTTCTAGGGAATAGGGATGCTCAATTATAGCCCTTTTCTCAGTTGAAGAATGGTGATTGAGTTTCAATTTGAGTTGGAACATTTTAATCCAAAGTTGCTGGCTATTTCTTCAAAGATATACAGAGAGCTTTGAACCACAAGGGCAGTTGTTCAAAGCTGAGCTGAAGTGTTTTCAGGTGTTTAAGCTATCCTCTTAAATCATGGAAAATCTTAGGTGAATCTACCCATGTTATCATAGCGGATATCATTGTGTTCTAGCAGTGAGGTCTCAGGATGATCTTACTAAAAAAAAAGTGTTAGGTGGATTCCCCCCCTGCCTGGGAGCTTGCTGTACCAGAGACAATGTCTGATCTAGTAAGTGAGAGCTAAGAAAGGACAGGGAAAAGATATATATATAAATATAATTCATTTCAATCATTTTCCAGGTGGAAAAAGGTTTCTGTTGTACTAGATTTCTCCTCATCTCTAGATAGTTTTATCTCCATGGCTTATAAAGATATTTACTAAGAACTTATCTGCCAACATCACAAAAAAAGGAAAAGTTTGAAAGTCCATTTGAAACACAGATAAACCCACAGTACCAAAATTCAGGGTCCTGCATTTTTGAACAAACTCAAATCCCTGTGACAGTTCCAGATAGAGGCTATTGCAAGTGTGGCCCTATGCCTGTGACCTTTAGATTCAGTATCTTTCTCTTGCATGCCAGGACTTAAAAAAAAAAAACCCTCTTAGCAAATCTAGAAACAAATAATACAAATTGGCATGATAATAGATTAAAACATGATTTGCAAAACTTGCATTTTTTAAGCTGAGCATAGGAAGTGTGATTATTCTCTCACTTTCTTTTTTTGTGTGTGGTTTTTAATTCACATACACACAAAATTAGATATCGTCTGCATTTTGTCTGTGTAAGACTACATTCAATTAAGTGCAGATTATGATAAAATTGATTATGAAAAACATCATTTAAAACTGGTCAAATAACATTTGTTTGAGATGGAATTTGTAAAAAGAAATTTACCACAACCATTTTACTTCTACAGAAAGAAAAGAACAACCTGCTTTTTGATTCCATTGTTCCATCTCTAATTAATTTTTTCTTTTTTGAAGGAATGGGTTTTATGTATGTGTAGCACTTTTCAAAATCCAAGTTTCATTAAATTTCTTTTTCATTTCAGAACCAAGGTACAAAATTGTAATTGGGGAACAAAAAAAAGAAAAGGGGGGGGGGGAGGGATGGGGGAGTCTTAGCATATTATATATTTGTAAAAGAATAGAAACTACTTCTGTAAAATATCTTTCGCTTTTAATTCTTTCCAAAATCCAGTCACTAAAATTCCTCCATAAAGTAACTGTCTGTCTATGGTCTTCCTGAAATATGTTAATGCAGCTTATAGCATCCAAGATCATTAATCGTACAAAACAGTCAAAACCTTTCTTTTAAGAAATTATTTTTTGACTGTAAATTGAAACTTTACCAGAGGGGGAAAAAACCTCCAAACATAAAAATTGCCTCTGAAATAAAAGTTTGGGCACTATGTCAAGTTTCATATGCTCTGGTAAACTGAAGCTTTCAAGCTGGACTTCATCTCTTAGGACCACAACCATTCCCATTTTTTGGTGGAGCACACAGCACATACCTCAAATAAACAAATTCTTAATTAACTATATAATAGTTCCCATGTTTACAGCTAATTCTTCAGCTATGGAAGAAACTTCTTTCATCACAGTTTTTCAGGAGAAAGAAATATTTTATTATTTTTCTAAAAGACAATTTTGTATTGAAACATTATGAAGGATTAAATTTTTAAGCAGTCATGGTAAATGAAATAATAAAATACCAAAAGATATTAACAATAAAAATGGGGGGGAGGAGGAAGGATGGGGAGGGTGAAGATCAGTGACACCCATCAGTGATTTTGCAGTAAAACTGTTTTAATAGGTCCACAGTAATGATAGTGATATGCTTCTACTCAACACTAATTTCTAAAGCTATTTTATTCTATAGCAATCTATAATGATATTTCAAACATAGCAGTGTGAAAAATATGGATATAATAAATTGTCTTGTATATAGTCACAGAATCACAGAATTGTTCAGGTTGGAAAAGACCTCAAAGATCTTCAAGTCCAACCACAAATAATGCTAAAAAGAAAAATATGGAGATTTTGGAAGAGTAGCTTATAATAAAATCTTTATATGGACTAGGGTGTTTTGCTGCTATGAAAATAGCATACATTCTGTTCTGAAAATACCTTCTTTCAAATGTGTCTCCTTTGATGTATGCTCTGCTAAAAATAAAATAAAATAAAATATCACACTAGAATCAAAGCACTCCTTAGCAAGATGAGGAAGATGTCTGCAGGTCACCAGCGATGCATTTATATTACAGACTGGTGAAATTATAACAGTGTGGAAACAACTGAATATCTCCTGAACTAGAATTAATTAGTTTATTTTTGTCCCATTTTGACATTATAAAAAGACAGCATATATCAGCAAGGCAATGTTAAATCTCTATATTCTAAGAGGAACTCCTTAGTAGGAAAACATCGTGAGTAGCGTACAGCAAGCAAGTATAAGTTGTTATGAAATACTCAAGGGTCATGTTCTCGCTGTCTCTGATAGCTTTTAAGTGACATAGAACAAACTATAGAACAAACAATAGAACAAAATATGAAGAGGAGGGAATAAAGACAACGTGAAGTAGACAAGCTTCACGAATAGATTTAGGAGCAGTCAAAATCAATTCACAGTTCTGGCTAAATACACACTGAACAGAATGTTTGTGCTAATAAAAATGAGAAATGTTCTTCTGTGACCTCTATCCTGTGTAGCCTTACACGGGACATGAAAGATATGCTATACAATTCTAAAGAATATATATATACATAAATCTTAATTTTCACTCCAAATTGTGGTTGTAATTTCAAAAGTGTTACATACTTAAGAGGCACTTTGGCCTGATATATCATACACTGGATGAGCACACAGTCCCTTCAGTATTTTCATGGATAAGAGAGAATTAATTTCTTATCACATTTGCATGCCTTCAGAAATTGCTCAGTACCCGAAACTGAAGTTTCTGTAAGTCTGCAGAACAGGATGGGATCTAAGGAAACACCATGGATAAGACTATACAACTAGCAAGCTTTAGGGAAGGACCTAAATTTGTCCTATGTGTCACTCAGATTTCTTAACAGTGAATGTTAGTACTTAAATCCTCCTATGATATTACATTGGTTTTGGTGCCTAGATATATGTACAACACACCAATTTAATTTCCCAATTAAAAGTTTCCAATTTTTGCTTTATATTTTTCCCAATTATGCCTGTTGCAATTTTTTTTCTTCCCTCTAGACTATAGCTACATGATGTATTAGTAGTTAGCTAGAAGTTGCTCAAACACACAAATTCCTTTATTCTCCTAGCCCCATAAGGATAACTGTCACCATCACCAGCTGGTACTATCTAGATTAAAAATAGACATCAGCTGCACAATTGCAAATTCCTCCTGAGGATACCAGCAGCAGGAGAGTTGACTATAATTCTTCATACAGACAGCATCAAGAAATATATTAGAAATGACATTCCTCTCATCTTCTAAAGCTCTTAACACCACTCACTCTTGCCTTGCCCTCAGTATCTGTTTCCATCATCTCTTCAGGATAATCAGCTGCCTGCTACTAATTAGTCTTGATGAACTAGCGTGGATATACTCCCATTAAATTGCTGGCAATAGATGTAAGGGTTTTGACTTCTCGAAAGCAAATTATTAACCTCTAGTACATCAGAACTATCAGTAGGACTCATTCTCCTTTTCACACTTCAATAAAAAAGTGTCAGAGCACTAAAGGTACATATTTCTGTGTTTCCTGTGAGTGAATATGAAAAAGAAAACCAACGGGTAAAATTTCCTTAGGAAAAAAGAAAAAAAAGAGCATCGCCATTTCAATTGAAATTCCATCAGTTCAACTATACTTTTAAACAGTAGAGACGCTGAACCTAATTTCCATGTTTACTACAGTATTTAAGTATAAGAAGGATTACTTTAACATCGGGAGATAATATTAAATGTCAAGCATCAGAGTTAAATTCCGAATGCTTTTGCTGACTTCCCAAGTTACATTGAGTGAATTTGTGTTTTCAGGTGGGAACAATAATTCATTTCTTCCTCACTTTGGCTCTTTTGCCATTGACACTTTGACTTTTGTTATTTTCTCTTTTTAACATAGTATAATATGTAGCACTATTATTTTATGTTATAGTTTTATTCCTTTATTTTGGCTATTCTTATAGTATTGTATTATGGCAGTACTTATGAGCCTTAGCCCCTGTTAACCAGAAAAGCTGTGTAAAGCAAATTGGCCTTGCTAAGACTGCTCCTAGACTGCTCCTCCAGCTTATTTTCCACCTTACGGGTGACATATTCCTTAAAACAAACAAAACAAAGCAAAACAACAACAAACCAAACTCACAAAGTAACCAGCAAAATACAAAGTCAGCAACAGGAGAGCAGACGAAAGCTGATGAAGCAGGGAATTGTGTTGACGGAAACATAAGAATCTCTTTGTGCTAAGCCAGGCTGGGGTGGTGCTTCTTCAGTCATGCTCTAGTAAATTGACGGATCGCTGAGCCCATGCTGTGTCAGAGGACTGCATTCTTTTTTTCCAACCCAGATTTTCCCGTATCTGAGGCTTCAGAGTATATGGCCAGTGCCAGGCTGTTGTTAGACACTGCAAGTTGCTGATAGTAGAAATTAGCTTGGTGAGGGGTGGGGGAAGATAATGTCAAAATTACATTTTCAGCAGGGATTTTCAGTAAAGCTGCCTGCAATACAGATCCTCTGAAGACTTTGAGAGCCTGTTCTAGATCAATAGCGTATAGATATATTGGCCTGCTAAAAGTATAGCTGTTTCTATCTCCGTTAAGCATCTTTAAATAGTCAGTAAGAGGTCTACTAGCTTCCCTTCTAGAAGTTATTTAAAACAAAAAACCATGTATGTTCTGTATATCCACACAGCACTCAAGGTCTAGAGAAACTAGTGTCAATCAATACCCATGTTTAAGAAAATGAAGTAATTATCCATTCAAAATCCAAGAAACAAAAAAAGGGAAAAACAATTTTCACATCTGTTTAATAAATAAAAAAGAAAACAATAAAATACAGCTTTGAAATACATACTCCCTTGCAATAATGTAATAAACCGTGCTGCCATCACATAAAGAATCGGGATGGTTGCCGTGGTGATGAAGATTATCCTTGTTGCTACTTGATTCTGTCATTTTTCTAAAAATGAATTAAGAATATTTAGGATTTATTAACAATGTGTCACATTGATAGAGATAAATTACATACTTTAAACTGGCCATGTGTGTCTTCTATGATATTGTAGCCACTTTGTCAACTCAGGAATAAGATATGATGTGATTACTAGAAAATTAAAGCTCTTTGTCTTAAAGGATGAGGCAGTATCAAAACTCTGATCAGAGAAAAACATCAGTAGAATAATCTAATGTGTTTATTTATTTAAAATCTTTCGGAGTTAGCTAACAGTCTCCACTTTCTGTCTTGTAGATTAATCAAGATCAGCATATATTGAAACTAGATTTACTTGTGCTGGGAAAATTTATATCATAATGCATAGAATTGATGTCTTCCAGGCAATTGTATTTTATGACAGTTCTAAGTATAATGGCAAGTTTGTGAAGAGATCTTAATGATGGCATATTTTGCAATATATAAAAATACATATACAAACTTATGTACTATTAGGGTTACTTCAAGGAATTTCTATAGAGTTTTGTACAATATATGGAAACCTAACTGTAGCAGAAAATTAGGTGAAATTCTCACTGTTGCTGTCTAGCAAGTATCACTTTATGTGCATTACTGCAGTGCTTGTGTCAATAAAATTAGTTACTGACAAAATATGAAGCTGATTTAGATGGCCAACTCTACAATCATTGTTTCATATATATTTTGCAGATAAAAGTAAGAAAAAGAAATTTGCTAAAATCACAAAGTTTTAAAAACTTTTTTTAAAAAAATCCCTATTTATACATTTTTTTTTCAAGGAAAGGATTTTTTATTTTTTATTTTTTTTTGGTAGAGAAAGACGTTAAAGGTAGTGGGAACCCAGTGGAGCTGAGTCATCTTGAGTCATGTAAGGATAGGTCAAGGGTAAATGGTTTTGAACTGAAAGAGGATAGACTTAGATTGGAGATAAAGAAGACATATTTATTATTTTTTTACAGTGAAGGCAGTGAGACAGGGGAACAGGTTGCTGAGAGAGATTGTGAATGAACCCTTCCAAGGGTGAAGCCCTGCTGTCCACTCCTCTTTTAATGCAGCCCAGAATATAGTTGGCTTTCTGGGCTGCAAGTGCACACTCCTGGCTCACGTCCAGCTTCTTGTCTACCTGGATGCCCAAGTCCATTTCCGCAGGGGTACTCTCAAGGAGATCTTCCCCCAGATTGCATAAATTCCTATGATTGCCCCAGCCAAGTACCTTGCACTTGGCCTTGTTGAATCTCATTAAGTTCTCATGGATACACTTCTCCAACCTGTCCAGGTCCCTGTGGGAAGCCTGGATGGCTTCCCTTCCCTCTAACGTATCAACCGTACCACTCAGCTTGGTTGCTCCCTGCAGGGGAGTTGGACTAAATGGCATTCAGAGGTCCCTTCCAATTCTAAGGATTCTATATTTGTCTCTGTAGAATGTGATTTGTCTCTTCATGGGCCACAATCGTATCTTTATGTAGAATGACCTTTGAGCTGGCTGAGATATGACTCCTATGTATATTGTTGTGCAAAGGAAGTAACTGAACTTTCTTAAATGCATTGTAAGGAAGGTAGTCTGGAGCAATGGCATGGAGAATTTCTCAAGTATGCTCAGAATCAGGGAGGAATTGTGTAGCTGCAAATAATCTGCCTTGCACTATTTCTATGGTTATGTTACAGAAACTAGTTTAAGTATCCTTTTAAGCAGAACAAGAGGGAAATGTTTGAAAATCCAGCAGTAGGATTCTCTCAGTAGATGGAAAAATTATCCTCATATAGTTACATGAAGAAAAATAATCCAAGCTCAGCTGAAGTACAGTAAATCAATATAAGATGATTTTTTCCTAATCACCACATTTGAGGTTTGTAGAACAAAAGATGAACTACACACCCAAGCTGCAAAGTACAAGACAAAAATAGAACAAAAGTCCTTTTGGCTCATTGACATCATATAATTAGCTTAGTTATGCTGCCATACATAGGCAGCTAACAGTAATACATATTTTTTCTTTTGTTATCGTTTGTCTCCATGAAATACTATCATTTCTGATGGCTACATAGCCTGATTTTATTATGTTTCTTGTGAACAAAGCAAAATCTTTATTTTAGATGACTTACACCATTCAATAAAAACATTCTATATTTATTTATAATGCACAAATCAATGTTGAAAAGAGAAAACACCATTTACTACTGTATCTCTTTGACAATGTATGTTCTGTTACAACTGGAGCAAATAACTAGTGGGATAAATAGAACATTTCTACTCTCTTTAACAAATATTAGAGTAGCTCCTTAGAGTTGAGATGTAATACGCACAGCTTTTACTCTGTTGTATTACTTTGAAGGCCAGAACACACATTATTTAGAATCTAAAGATCAAATCTCACCCTTAAAAAAAGGAAGTAATGGACTCTGGTGAGATTTGTATGTGATTTTGTCAAAGATCTGTTTGATCCAGTATTTTATACCAGTTTTCCACTGCAGGAAAATATGTATATTACAATAAACTGGATGCTCTGTTTAATCTTATGAATTTATTTGTCACTTCTAATAAATGCCCTATAAATTTCTACCACTGAAAGCAAACAGCATCATGACAGCTTGATTTAATTCTGGTTTGTTTTTCCTAAATTTCACATTTTTCATTTTCTGTGTTATTGTGGTTTTGGCACAGTAAGGACTATAGAAAAAATAACTATGAAGGTGTATAGCAGTAAGAACAATATCAATGTCACAGGTGAGAAATTTTATTTATAAGGGGTGGCATAGCAAGGACAGATAAATACTGTTATACTTTCTCTTCTAACAAGGCTGTTCTTAGCTAAGGGGTTTATGAAATGTGCTTTAGTATACATTATGATTAAAATGAATCTTCTCAGAAACTCTGATCTGTAACCTGGCAATTTTTGTATGTGTTTGTAATTTGTGTACAGCACTGAGTCTATCTTTTGTCGTGAGTTGAAGTTACTGACTGAGAATCTGAGCTTTAAAAACCTAGAATATGTAGTGAAAACATTACCTTTGAATTAACTTTACCTTTGAAAGTTAATTTGTAAAATACAAAATACTAATCCTGGCAAGCAACTAGAGATAGTTAGAGAAAAATGCTGAATAAAAGCATGTTGTTTTTTTTTTTTTCTGATTCATAACCAACATATGTTATTATGTAGCTGTTGCTGATGAGCATAACATGTTCTTGATATTAAAAGCGCTACTACTGCTCAATTTAAATCAGAATGATTATTAAAGTAATTTACTCTTGTGATTTTTGTCTATATATTTTGTATGTGAGTGTATATATAGGCATATATAAATGAAAAATGACATATACACTGATAAATGAATTTTATTGTATATAATTAAGAATATGCAGATTATAAAGTCATAACCGTGCTATAATATTTGATCAATTAGCTATTTTATTGAAATAATTCATCTGATATTTTCTTGTGTTAAGATTACTTTAATATTCATGATTAAATTCTGCATTGCATTATTTTCAGAAATTCATAAAGAGAAAACAGAGAGACATGAAAAACGAACAACACCAAAAGGTAATTCTTTGACTATTTACCTACATACATGTGTGAAATATATGCTGTCTTAGCCAACTGCATGTGTTATCGTTATTATATTATAAAATAATCCAGAGAATGGTTGGCACAGGCTGTAAATAATGGAAACTTCATTTATGCCTTGGCATTAACAAATAGTGTCATTTTAAATTTGTGGGGTTATATTGCAAACTCAAATTCATAATAAAATTATCTTGTCCAAATCTATCCAGGACTCTTTTTATAGCAAAAGTGCTAGAAGATAGAGTGCAGACAAACTTTCTCTGGTGCAAAATACCTTTAATGTGTTGGGCAAGAAAGAAAATATATTTATAGACCAGTAGGTGCCATCCAAGTTAGACATAGTTAAGAGTGAGCAAGGTGTGTATGAAAGATAAGAAAAATCTCCATTATAAGAACCTACTTTTTTAGATTGTCCTCTAACTGGCACTTTCAAAAAATCTATACAGGAGCTGGTTCAAACTGGTTTTCAAGGTCAGATAAACAAATATGTTTCCTGGAATATGTGCAGATTTTTTGCGTAATGAAACCTCCTCTGGAAAGTATAGGCCAAATAAAATTTGATGAGCTTCTCTCTCATGTACCAATGCTGTGCTCAGTAATGGCAGAAGAAAGTAACAGGAGTCTTATTAAAAGTAATGTGCATATACATACACTCTCCCTTACACAATTATATCCTTTATATAAACATATATTTTCCTCATAGGTTTTTATAGTATTTTACAACTCTAGTGGTAACTTTTCAGCTCTGTGCTAATCAGGGTCATGTGTAGTGCCTAGAGTCTCTTCCCAAGTACTTAATAAATCACGTAGTATGGAAATGAATTTTTTAGGATGCCACTGGGTTAGCCGAGTAATAACTAACTCAGATCTATTAGCAAAGATTCCTAGTTAGGGACTTTTCAAAATCTGTATTCTAAAAATACAGATGAAACTTCAGTCTTGACCAAAACAGTTTCTTGTGTACAGTATCGTCTATAGAGAAATGCTTTGCTTTACATGGAGGAATGTGACAAAGATAATCACAAAAATGTTATAAGATTCCAGAAAGAAAGGCACTGAGTTGTCATCAGTTAAGTATCTTTTTGCAGTCTTGTAATGCTGTTTTAATTATATGCTGTACTGAAGCACAGGACAAATTTCTGTTGTTTCTAAAATTTCATAGAATCACAATATTTAGGGTTGAAAGTGTCCTTCAATAACATCTAGTTCCAACCACCCCGCAATAGGCATGGAAATAGTTCACTAGACAAGGTTGCTCAAAGCTCTCTCCAATCTGGTCTCGAAAATATTATATTTACATTTCACAGAATCATTGAATGGCTGGGGTTGGAAGGGATCTTTAAGATTATCTAGTTTCAATCACCCTGCTATAGGCAGGGACACTTCTCTCTATAGCAGGGTTGAGGGCAGCCTGGGGTAAAGCTCACACTGGAGGTATTTTGACCAGCATCAGTAGCTGGCAAAACTGAACCTCAGTTCAGATGGTGATAACAACCTCTGAGTTCTACATTTAAACCTAACTTTAAATCGAGGATTTCTGCAAGAGGGATAATGTTAGAGCCATCTAAGGTTACTTGGCTTCTGAATGAAAGCGTCTACACAGAGATTTAATGCTCTCTGACTAATGCATTGTAACTTCATTGTATGAGTCCATTTATCTTAACTTTTGTGAGTGCTGCTCTGCGGACAAGCACTTAGTTAGCTGGAACAAGCAATCTCCACTTTGAGCTCATTCCACTTATCACTTTTAGCCTTATACTAAGCAGTGGACAAAGACTTAGCTGGAAAATATTTTTACTTAGCTTAAGTGTGGAATCAGTTCCTCCTCATCTCTCCTTTTTGCACTTATTTTTTCTGAGGTCAGATATGTTATCCAATACCCTGTCTCAGACATTCTAATTAAGAAAAACAATCTAATTTCCCTTCACTATGTTTTCCATGTGGTGCTAAATCAAATATAATGTTAGGTGATTTAAATTTGGAAAACCCACATATATGCTACACTTCTTGTTTTAAATTTTGTGTGAAATAAATAGCAAGATTCTTATGTGATTAAACTCAGAATATATTGTTAAATTGCCTTAAAATTTTCCATTATAAGTTCCTATTTTAGTTTATTTATAAATTTACCATACTTCAGTCATTGAGGATAAATTTTTTCTTGCTTGGCTTTTCGCCTCAGGCTGAATTTTCATTCAAACTCATGTAAAAATGTGTCAGCAATTTCCAGAATCTAGGTTAGTGAGCACTATGTTGGGGCATCGTATTTTTTTCAGTGCTAATACCAGCCAATTCTGAGCTTATGTGTTTTGTTTGTTTGTTTGTTTGTTTTTGTTTTTGTCTTTTCAAGGAAGTCTAAGCAAATTTATTTAAGTTGTGGGAAAATTTCAGCTTAGACATTTGTTACAAAGACATATTTCATTCTTCTTATTTTTGTTTTCTAGGTGAATCCAGTATCCTATTAAGAAAAACAAAATATGTGATATTTTAATTGCAAAGTGTGTCATAAACCAAATAAAATGCTGAATTAAAGTAGAATCGACAGCTGTAGATTCAGCATTTTTCAGCTGAAGAGTGCTAGACTTAACTGATTTTAAAATGATTTCATATAGTTTCTCATATTTGTTATATATACAAAAATATTTTATTAACTCTAGTTTGTTTCTCAGAAACATCACCATATGGCCAACTTGGCTTATTTCTAATCCTGATGTAATTCTTCCATTTAACCTTTGAGGGCTTGAGAAATGGCATATGTTAAGCCATTTGCAAAAAAAGTAGATATCTAGGTAACTAAATCTGGAAAAAACTTATAGGCAATGAAGTGTTGTTTATGACAGAAGTTCCAGGATTATGTGTAAATCTGAACATAAAAGCATTTGAAAAAGGAAACAAAATTTAACAACCAAATACCATTGACTATCACAGAGCTATTTCAAAATTTTTTACTTGTCCCATCCAAAATTGACAACATGCTGGCTTGAAGAATTTGATGCAGTGGTTTCACTTGCTAGTATAGATATAAGATGTAACAGCATGCTATAATTTCTGCAAAAAAATCATAGTTTAAGACCTTCTGGATATAAGGAAAAAGCAATGTTTTTCTTAGGTATGGTATTAGATGTCCTAAAGTAATTGAATGAGCCATCCTGTCCTTCATGCAGTAGCATATTGCTTCTGTGTTCTTCACAGCCTGGCTTTTAGTGTGAATTAGCTGTCCACATTCCTTAAAGGTTTTGAAAAATTTCCTTGTAGTTTGTTTCTACGGTATTGCTAATTGTTATCAGCAATTATTTACCTATTATGACAGGGAATGTATTTCGATAATGCAAACACATGCAAAGACATAATGAAATTAGTGAAGTTTGGAATGATTTTTCCTAAAGACATGAACCTATATTTTAATGAGGAAATATTTAACCAAGAAAAAATATGTTTCACCCCTATTAAATTACATTTGCTGCCAAACTGGTGAAATGAGTGTATGCAAAAATATTACTATGTTTGTGTATAAAACTCTCAGTTGTTTTCTAACCAGGGTTATGTTTTCTGTGGTTTACTTGAGTACAAAATCTTAAGTATTGCAAAGAAAATAATTCCCCATTGAAATTGGCAAAAGCTCTAGTCTTTTAAAAGTGGAGTTTGACAAGGAATATGTTTATCTGAATTGTAAGATGTGTATTATAACCATGTCCATAAACATGGTCTAAAAGTTAAGTGGTCAGTAGAGTCCACAAGCGTACCAATTTGCCTGCTTCTAGCGGGATGTGTACCTGATTGCTTTCAACAGCTGTTCCTTCTGAAATTACTTATTTATTAAAAGAGATGTATTCCTATTAATCCATCTTGTGGCTGAAGTAACATCTAAAAATAAAGAAAAAAAAGAGACGGAAAGCAATATGCTAGCCATTTACTGATAATAATAGAAAGCATTGCTGTCAAGAACTGAAAATAATTTCCTCCATCAGAAATCTTAGAGCCACTGTGCTTGTGTAATGGAACTAAAGCAAATATGAAAGTTGCTGAATAATTACATTTGTTGCCAAATCATGATCCAAATTCTAAAGACTTACAAGCACACATTTCTTTTGCTCCTGGAATTAAATATTGACACTGAGAAGATCTATACAAGATCCAGTGTCTGTTACTCAGAGATAAAATTCATTTTTTGCTTTTACAAAAATTTTCTTCAATTACTTTTGTAGAATAAAATGTGTTCATAATACCAGGAGACTACAGATTTACCATTTAATTTCCCGTTTTTATGTTTCTAGTAATTCACAGAGAAAAGCCTCAAAAACAAGAAAGAAATGAAAGGAAGGAACATTTGAAAGGTAGGTATTTAACACTTGATCTTTTTTTCTTTTTATCAAAGTCTCAAAACTGTCAGATTTGTTGACTCTTAGGCCTTTCTGTAAATCCCAATTATGTTTAAGAGTGGAGAAGGTTCTGTAGAAGCCTGATGGAAAGAGAATGACGATTTTAAAGGCACTTTGGATTCAGCACTCTGCAGAAAATCTAAAATTATATTCATAAATTAATAAGTTTTTACTGTATTATTTACTTGTGTAAAATATGCCCAAACCATAAACAGGTGCCTTTTATTCTTATTGAATAAATCCAAGAAAAATATATATTTTTTAGGCATAATTCTGAGCAAAGTGTAGTGCCTAAATCACAACATAAACACAACATGAGGGCTGCTTTTAATAAATTTGTTTTTCCCAAACTCATTTTGGAGGTAATAAACGGAAAGCATTAGAGAGAATGTGTTGGTTTGCTGTATGAATGCCAGTATTCTGCCGAAGCCTGCCTACTTGTCAAAACACTACAAGGTTTCTGTGAACATGACTTTTACATAAAACTTTGATTAATGAAGTGCCCGACTGGAGGAAAAAACCCATTTTAGAAGAACAAATAGCCATAAAGAATCATCCAAAATAAGGAAAGACTAATAAGATCTAGCCGCTGCTAAATTATTTCAGAAAAAAGAAGAGAACTCTCACAACAAAAGCGAATATGTGCTTGACTAGATCTCTCTACTCGTCTCCAATTGGAGCTTTTCTATTGTATATGAATAATTCAAAATATCAAGAGTTAGAAAGTCTGACTAGAGGTTAATGACAGGCACATAACTTCAGGTGTCTATTAGAGTGAATATTTATTACTAAAAATGGAATAGTTGTAACGAAAGAACATTTTTTCTGAGATTTGGCAAAATGACAGATCAAAGACTATCATGTCTCATATTACAACATGAATGTGCCATTGACTTTTTTTTTTTTTTTTTTTTGGTAGAAAATGAGAAATTCTTTGATTTCCTTTGAATGAAAAGAAAATTTAATGTTTCAAAATGCTTCTATGGGCAGGGAAAAATGCTCAGAGACCCTGAGCAAATGAAGAAGAAGGATTTTTAAGGCTTCTCCCAATTTTTATGATTTCTTAGTTTTGTCTACTGAACTATTGCTACAATTACTCCAATAATGCTACTGTGGATAGAGATATTCTGCATTTTCTATACTAAGGAAGATTGGTTTAGTTGGTACATTTCATATTAAAATTATGACTGTAGATATGTGTCTTTCTAAGGCTCTTTTTTTTTTTAGAATGCCTGGAGGAACCCAAAATTTTCACCGAATCCCTGTATTTTTCTATTTTTCATACATTCTCTTTTCAAGATTAGCATATGGAGAGAGTAAATAACATTCTAGTCTAATTTCTAGTTAACTTCTCCTTAGTTTAAAGAGAAGAAGAAAAGTTATCTAATGACACAGAGAATAAATAGCTGCCCTTAAAAATGACTCAGTTGGCTATGTCAGGAATTCATTCTGAGGTATTCCATCACTAAAAAAACATGAGAGCGAGTGTTCCCTGCTCTTCTTTTTTTTCCAGTCAGACATGAAATTCAAGCTACTGTTAAAGATCTTCCTTATTTGCTCATGTTTGGCCAAGGAGTTTTACTTGACTGGGATGAAATCCCCACAGGAGATATAATTAAAGCCAGCCTGCATTTTCATGGCTGATTTTTCTGAAGTGCTCTTAAATCCTCATGCTTATTTTCCATTGTCTTGAAAATTGCTGTTTGAAATTCTAAGAAAGGTGAGTGGGAAATATTATGTGATTGACTGAATATCACAATGCAGTTTCCACTGTCAAAATGTTAGTTTTGTCTTTGCACATACTGGGCAGCTAATTATGGCTTTGGGTTCATCATTTGTCAGCAGATGATCTCAGCTAGTGTTACTAGCTATCCATATCTATTGCTAGCTATCCATATCCATTGCTAGTTATCCATCCCAAGCCAGCTGGCATGTGACAAAAGTGCCATTTGTGCATGTGGCACTCTAATGCTCCAAGATTGATTCCAGAGTTTTATGAGACTCTGCCTGACAGAAAATGGAGTGGTCCATATGATGTACTGCTTCTAGTGCGGGCAGCAGCATTTAGTATGAGCTCTGTCTTTGTCCTTGACAGTTTTCTGAAAAACAGTCTTCAGGAACAGACAGACAATTGCAAAAGTTGTTCATACTGTAGAAAACAGTTGGGGAATGTAACTATGATTTGGAAGCAGTAACTTAGCTATTGTTGCCTAACAATAACCATGTATGGTGTATGCTGTGCAGATAGGCATAGGATAACACAGTAATAACACAACTTGTCATTTCATCTCAAATGACTTAACTTGGCATAATTACTTTTTATTCTTAAGTTTCTTGTTCAACTTTTTATATGAAAACTTTTCTTCTTTTCTAGTGACACACAAAGACAGATCAGAAAAACAAGAAAAACCTGAAAAAAGGGAGAGACACAGAGGTAAAGATTTAATGTTAGGATTCATATTTTGTGGTAACCCAGGAATAATTTTCTACTTCACCTCTATACATGTATCTTTGCAATTGGAAAAAATATGATAGAACTTTTAGTAGAAATCATGACGTTGTGTAAGGGTTTGCAAACATATGGACTGACAAGAATGTTGCATACCTCATGCATGTTTTTTGTTTGCTTTGTCTGTTTTACTTAGGTTCTTTTCTTTGTCTTGTTTTTTTCTTTGTGTGTGTATGTGTATTGTTGGTTGGTTTTTTTTCTTGCTTTTTTTCAGAGAGAGAGAAATAATATATTTTATACTCTGGTTTACTATAATTTCTCAGTAATCTCTGAGTATTTCCAGCATTCACAGTAAATATGGTTTCTAAGACAATATGGTAATCCATGAAAAACCTCTAACATCAAAAGAGAAAACGTAAACAAATGTAATGAAGCAAGCCATGTGGGGAATAAATAAAGACACAAACAAGAAAATAGCAACAAACAAACATTTTAATTACAATACTGACTTGACCTATTTCATAGTCATTGAAATGACCAGAACTGATATTTTTATCAGTGAAGCATTTATCTTCAACAATAAAATGACATCTAGCATTTATTTATCTTCAACAATTCTAAGTTTCATTTGAAACATCGTCACAAGCCTGGAAGATAAATAACAATGCTCACGCATACATTTCTGTGTTCTCAGTACAAACTCATATGCCAGAGTCAAACAACTAGCTGAATGTTTTTACACATCTCGTCCTTGTAGGGTACGTCAGTGAATAAGAATGTGTATAGTTATCAGTTCTGGGCACCTGTGAATAGGTTACTGTGTAAACATAAACTAACAAAAAATTATAAAGTCAGATCCCACACTGGAAAATATTTCGAAATATGCACCACTAAATGACTACTGCACAACTCAGGTGTATTTTAACCAGAAAACTTGTCACTTTAGTGTACTTTATTTCAATTTGTGAAGTGGAAATTAAAAGCAAACAAGAAGCCCCAAAGAGCATTAGTTATAATGCCATTGCAATTAGATTTGTAATTAATTATAGTGTTCAATCATTCATGGCTGAAAAAACTGTTAGTTATTATTTGGAGTTCAGAAAGTCCTTCAGAAAGAAATACCCAAAAAAGTAATAAACAAGAAAGCTCAAAAATAAGAATGAACCAAAGTATACAATTACCAAAAAAAAAAAAAAAAAAAAGTAAACAAAAATATGCACAACTCTTCCTGGCTACTTTCTGTCATTGGATTACAGTTGTGCTAGAAAGTCTCTTCTTCCCCCAGCCAACGAAAAACCTCAAAGGTACTACATGAATCTTTGACAATTCCGACTGTGTGTTTTGACACCACCAGCAGACAGCTGCAGCTGATTTAGTCTTTCTAGTTAACAATGGTGCCTAGGTGGTTCTTAATCCTCTTCTTTTTCTCACTCATTTGCAAAACTTCTCTTTTTTAACATCAGTTAATATTGCTGTTACTTATTTCTAGCAATCCACAGAGAGAAATCTGAAAAGCCAGAAAAGCATGAAAAAAAAGCACCTTCTAAAGGTAACAATGATTGTTATTGGATATTGTACAATTTTAGATTTTTATCACTTATGTAGTTGGGGAACATGTGAAGATGAAACGTAATGTTTAAAACTGTTTTAGTCCCCACAATACAGTCTTTGGCAGCTCTCACTTCTACTTGAGCAGATCTTAATCAAACTCTAAGTGAAGTCTACAGTGTATATTTCTTGCTTAGTTCTCTTGTTTAGATGCACGGAGCTAATCAGTCTGGGGGATTTAAAAATACAATCAGCTTTTCCCATGCTCCCATTTTTCAAGACTAATATTTATTGTTGCTTGGTATTTGAATTTTTTTGCTCTTTGCTTAATTTTAGTCAGTCAAACCACAAAAAAATATAATACAGTGTATCTTAGTATCAGCCTTTTATGGAATTTGATGATTTTTATGGCAATCTGATGATAATGGGAAACATGAAATTATTAGGTGTGATTTTAATCTGTCCAGAGAATAGAGACTCAAATGTTAAAACTTTAGGTGGCAGTGAAGAGAGAGTAACTGTAATCACATAAAGACTTAAAAGACTCTGAAAAATAACAGTCATGTGGAAATAAGGATACTCAAGGGAACAGATATTCCAGAAAAGATTTGCAGCTACTTCCCCTGTTGTCAGGAGATTTTTTTTCTATGCCCAATAAAAAAGATCCCTTCGAACACTGTTAAATATTCCAGAAAATTTCAGTAATATTGTCAACGGTTTTACAGGCTGGTTCAGCCCAGTTCTGTGACTAGTGGGCAGAGGGATTCATGAATCCACACCTCTGGAAAGGGGAAGCAAGGGGACACCAAATAGTTAAAAACAGTGGCAACGATCTGAGGAGAAACAAACTACTTTACTACATCTGGTATTGGAATGGAAGAAAGCACACTATAATACAATATAATTAGAATTGAAACTAACAAATCAAATATAATGAGAGAGAGTGTCTGAAAGGTGGAAAGGCCTCAACATAGCGCAGAGGTGAGACGCGCAGTCAGGTCAAGCAGCAGGGATGAGAGAGAGCCGAAAAAAGTGCAGGTCAGGTGATCTACCAAGTCTTATACCCCCTTTCTGAATGCAATGTCCTCTGGGGTATATAGCTCTTCTTCTCTTCTGGACAGATACCTGGAACTGGAGCATTAACTTTTTAATTTCCAGTGCACTAAATGATATTATGATGTGGAATACTGATAACCAAAAATCATAAAACCATGACAAATATGAATTATATTTAAAGAGATCTTCTAAGAGTGAATTTAAAAATAAAAATAGAAATAAAAATAAAGAAAAAAAATAAAGAAAAATATCAGTCATAGGACATATAGGTAGCAATTCCAAGCTGGAATTCAGTTAGGGTGGTATCATTTGCAAGAGGGATAATTAACTGTCAAGCCTATTTTGTATATCTGAATAGCAAATACAAAAGGAAAGATAGAAGTCTCTTCATAATGTTTTGACTGCCTTTCTGGGACATCCACTGTGTAAACACATTTACTTCCTTGTGCAGACATAAACTCTCTCAGATATAGCTCTGAAGTGAGCACCAACCTTTGTGGCTGTGTTCACAGCAAATCCAAGCTAAGAAACCCCTTTTTCTGTCAAAATAGTGAGACTAGTGTAGTCACACAGATTACTATTGGCTTTAGCACAGACAGAACAAGCCTATATCTACTCAGAGCTCGTGCAGAGCAAGTTTATAACATTTGGAATATACAATACAAACATTCTGTAAAAATCTTCATTTCTGTGTAATTGCAATGTCTCCTGCTTAGGTGATTCTCAGCAGATATTTTGAAGATTTTAACCTTGTGAACCTGAGAAAAAAGAAGAATTTTACAAAAAAAATGTATATAATATGAGTCATGAAGAAATGTGAAACTTTGAGGAAAGCTGTATTTTAACAATTGTTTTCTCTCTCTCTCTTTTTTTTTTTTAATTTTTAATTTTCCTAATATACAACTGTACTCATTTCTAGTAATTCAGAAACACAAACTTGAAAGACATGAAAGAACTGAAAAGAAACCTCCTCCCAAAGGTATTTATTTATACTTTTTTTTTCACTGAAGTTTACTTCAAAATTTGTAAACTTTATTTAATTGGAGTAAATAATAGAATATATATGAAAAATCATCTACATTACACTAAAATTTGAATGAATTAAAACATCTTAAGAGCAACCAGAGGTTAGTTCTATGCATAAACCATTTTAATACCTGTTGAAATTTCAATGACTGAAATCCAAAGAATCAAGGAGTGTTGAGTTGGAAGGGATCTCAAATATCTAGTTTCAAATCTCTTGTGATGGGCAAGGTCGCCACCCACTAGATCAGTCTGCCCAGGGCCCCATCCCACCTGGTCTTGAATGGTGCATCCACAGCTTCTCTGGACAAGCTGTGCCACTTCCACATGACTCTATGAGTAAACAGTTTCCTTCTAACATATAACCTTAGCCTCTCCTCTTTTAGTTTAAAACCATTCCTTTTTGACCTATCACTATCTGCCCAAGTAAAGCGTCACTCTCCATCTTTATATACTAAAAGGCCACTGGAAGGTATGTAAGATATTTGGAAACCCCTTCACTCTGCTGCAGGGCACATTATGAATAGTCCTGCCTCAGACCAAATACCCAGACGTGGGTATTTGGTCAATGAAAGACTCAAAAACACAAGACTCTTTGATCAGAAACCTAGAGCTAATCCAAAAAAAGCTACAGTAAGCATTAAAAAAAAAAAGCCTTACAAATAACCATACTTTAAATGAACCACTCCAACTTCTTATGGCAGGGTTTCACTCTGAACTCCGTAGTTAGTCAGATTTAACCCGGTAGTACTTACTGTATTTGTTTGCTTTATGATCGATATTTGTTCCCCTACTTTATAGCATAAAAATTACTATATTGTCATGAGGCTATTTTTATTTACTATTACAGGACTAAAATAAAAAAAATGTTCGCATATAGTATTTCTGTCTAAATCTGTTTGGCTTTGAGGAATTATAGTTTTCATCAGATCTGAACAATATGTTGATGAAAAATATTCATTAATAACTATACAACACAAGATAAAATGTTATTATTATTCTGGGGGAAAAGAATGACACTGAAATTTTGTCTTGATTACTTGCAGAGGAGAAGAAAGTAAAGAGCACCAAAGTGGAAACAAAAGTTAAAAAGGAAGTGAAGGATGGAAAAGGAGAAGCAAAGATGACTGAGAAGATCAAGCAGACAGAGACTAAAACAACAGAAGTTGGGTTAATAAAGGCCAAACCGAAATTCAAAGAGGAGAAAGCTCTTCAGACTCTTACTAAATCGGAAAAGAAAGGTAAACAGTATGAGGAGGAAACAGATGAAGATCTTAAAAAAGTAGTAGAAAAAAAGGAGAAAGAAGGAAGTTAGAACTGGCGAGGACCAAAATCCACCCATGAAAAAGAAAAGAGCAAAACAAATTCCAGCTGAATCTCAGGTTGTTAGATGGAAACTATCAAGAATAAAATAAGTTTAATTCAAATAACTGTTTTTTCATGGCTAAAGATTCATTTTCAGTTTGAATCTTCCTTTACCAAGGACCAATGTCTCCAGTAGGCTGGAGTCTTCATAGATTTGCTCAGTAGAATGTTATCTAGTACACTGCAAGTAAATTTACTTTGAAAAATACCAACTGCCCAAAAATCTGTTTAAAATTCTGTTTATTTTCTCTATCTTCATATGTCCTCATTAACAATTATAAAAGTGGCAGCAAATGAAAGAATGTGTAATCATTTGTATAGCATCAGAGTATGTGAGACATTGCCATGTACTGTATGACATAATTATATGCCTGCCTGATGTTATTTGATGTGATTGCGTTCCAAATTTCTCCTAAAAACGAAAGAAATGCCATTTCCTTGATGAAAGGAAGAAATTAAATTATAAAATAAGGAATCAACATGCATCAACACAAAATGCAGCTGTTAGTTATATGCTCGTTTTTCTCAGAGTCAGCCTCGGATGTTGCACTCCCAAGTCACTATAAATGCTCTGTCCCTCAATATCCCTCTGACTATTCCAGTGAATTAGATACAACTTTGTATGAATGAAGTAGAAGCTGGATTTCTGTAAGAATTGCCACAGCAGACGCAGGATTATTCTGACATTAATAGAGTTAGCTCTGCATTGCACAGCACACCTACCATCTGATGATTTCAACTGATAACCACAAATAAGTTATTATGGCTGAGCATCAGAACAGCTATTGCTGCACAGCCATCCCTGCCTGAATGTCTGAATCTAAAGAGGCAGATCCTCTAAGAAGAGGATATGTCATAGTCATAAGTTCTGGACGCCTTAGGGGTTGTTTAAATTTTGTATTTCTAGAAATCTGAAAGGGGAGTTTTTGAGACATAGCCCCCTTTCTGACATGTGTAGTATATTGAGAGGGTATTATTTTATACAATTTTAACAAATAAATGTATTTTAGTTAACTCTGGTTTTCACTTGAAATACTGGAGCCTTTGAGGTATAAAATCAAAGTAGCATCATTCATGATGTTCTGATGAAAGGGAAAGTCCAGCAAACTGTTGAGTTGCTCTTGAGAGGTGCAAACCTCTTTTAATTTTTGTTTGCTATGGCAAAGTTTTGGTAAACAGTGGAATTCACTTTGTACTGTTCAGGTTAAAGCTCTCAAAAAGCAACAGTTGTGCAGATGAGGCACTTTACTCCCTTGATAGAAAATGTGTTTAAAGTGAGTTGGGGTTAAAGAGAGCAATAGATAGAGGTGGGGTGTGATATGTTTTTGTTTTTGTTTTTGTTTTTTAACTGATAAAAATTAGGAAAATGATCAGTTTTAACATCAAACATTAACATATCACTTTGTAAGTCTGCTTTAGATTGTGACCCCAGAAACTGTGCACTGAACCACAGCAGGTGGAAGTGGAAATGAGCAGCTGGAGCATAGAAAGAAAGGAGTCTCTTAACCTGCCCTTATCACTGGAGATAAAGTCACACACATTCAGTGAATGCTGCCTCTTTCACTTCTGTTCCTTTCACCGCAAACTGCTGCTACCCAACCAGATACTCTCAGAAAATTCAGATCTATATTTCAGACTCACTGTGGCCCATAATGATCATAATTTAAAATGCTTTAGCCAATGTTCCCTGATCCTTCAGTTCCGTACTTTTCCTTGCTCAAGGGAGTGGTTTTGCCAGCATTTCCTAGAAGACTGTAAAAAGAATTACAGTAAACACAAGGAGTTGTTATGATGCTCCCACTGTTATATCATTCCTCAATAAAATTAATATTAAAAAAGATAGTCCATTTCCCAGGGTAAATCCGGTGAGGTCAAGTGACAAAAGAATACCTGTGACTGTTTTTATTAATAAGAATTTAGTTCCAAACATTGAGATGAACTTTCAATCATCGGGTGAATATCTGTACCACCACGATAGACTTACAAGGTTAAAACTATCATGTGAAATTCTCATCTGAGCAGGAGAGTTTAAATTGAAATTAATTTTTAGCCATGGAGTGTTGTTTGGAGAATCATACTCATTTAAAATTCCCAATGTTTCAGTCTTTGCCAGTTGGCAGAATTGGACTTCAGTAGAATGTTACTGTGCACCTTATTATTTCATATACAGTAGAAATACTATTTGTGTTATTCAGTTTAGAATTCTGCCTTCAGTTTTTTTTACATTTTTCAGGAGTTGAGTTACTAAAAAGATACTATGAACATAAGATTAATACACAATCTTTCTTTTTAGGTGTGGTCAAAACTGTCACTACTTTTTTATGTTTATTCAGAAAAATAATGCTTTTATGTTTATCACAGAAAAAAAATGTCTATTTTGATCCTTGTTTGTATTACTATCATTAAAAAACATATTATTTTAGTATCAAGGAAACTGTGTGAGCTGCTAAGTCCCTCAGGCTATGTCTGTATCATAACTTAAATAGATTCAGCACAAGCTTGTGCTCTGTCCTGTGACAATCCGTACAACTTATGTGCCCTGACAGTTTAGTCCCGTTGCCATTTAGCAGTCTCTTATACAATGCCTGGAAATAATCCAGAGGCTCTTCCAAATTGGCAGCATGGATAAAGATGGACAGCCTCTTCTAGCAAAACAGGGGTAAAAAAATTCAGATTTCTGGGCATGAGCTGTGCCCTGCCATTTTCTCACGGGGCTAAACAATTAACTTTGGTCTATTTTATATATTTATACAGACATAAGCTGATTGACTAACTCACTGAGGTCCTATTTCCAAGCATGTTGAAGTCAGTAAGCTGACTTCAGATGGGCTTACTGAGAATACTTTTTTCTGCTTCTACTTTCCTCTATCACCTACCCCCTCTCTGTGACAGAAAATTAGCACATAGGCTTAGTACAGATATTGCAGCCAAAATGTTCAGATTCCTTAAGGATGGAATCCAAGACTAGAGCTGACCAAAATGATAAATTTGAATTCCTAAATACAAAATCAGAAACTATTATGAATAGTCATTAAAAGTTTTAAAAGCACTCATGGACTTGTGTATGTTCTGGCAAGTTCGGCCCAAGTCCTTCAATTCTAACTAGAAACCTTTCACCCCTGGCACTTTAGTAATAGGAAACAGTTGCATGGGCTCTAATGGACTAGTAGAAACAATTGGTTTAACTACTATTGGTGCTCTAGTAAACTCTGTAAGAAAGTAAATAATAAAATTTTACATTCCTAAGAATATGATTTCTTTTTTATTATTATTATCTTTTTACATTTAAAACATTTCAAAGTCCGTATAATACTGTTTTGAAGACAACAAAGAGAGGAGTTATAGGTGCGTAGGAATGAGATGCAACTGGAGATGGAGAATGTAGCTTATGTAACCTTACGTTGTAAGTATGGGGTAACCGTAGAGGACAGACAGATTAATTTGCTCAGCCCCTTTACTCGGAGGCTGTTGTAAACTAACACAGATAACCAATGCTGGTATTTGATCATCATCATTAACACAGGAAGATAGTGTCCCCTGTAGTCCATTGGGACATGTTTTTCCAGCCAACTGGAGAGTTCAGCAAAAATATTGTAATTCGTTTGCACTCAGTTATAAAAAAATTCTTAATCTTAGCAATTTTGATCAAAAAGAAATCAGTAGACAATCAACATTTCTGAATTCTGAGTTTCATGTAGATACAGAAGCATACATTTTTGAATAGCAGAGTTGTACTATTTATAACCAAATTTAATATATGCATTATATATGTCTATGTAAAGACATATGTAAAGATTAGTGTTTGGAAAAGAATTATGTAGTGAAATGATAAAATTCAGTTGAAAATCTCATTGCTGCAAAAGTGTAAGTACACAGAGTTCTTTTTATATTCCCATTCAATAAGCTTACATATTGATTATACTGTTAACACACTATTAACAAAATACTGTGATTTAAAAGTTTATTGAATTTTGCTATTGTCTTATTGAGACGATATAAAATGGATTTGCATGGATATGAAATATTCTTTGGACCATAAAGTAGTTTGGATCATGCCTCTGTGGGAACAAGGTAGTGCATTGCTGAACTGGTCCACACATTGAAGGCCAGAAAGAAGAGATAGTGGCACTGAGGTAGCTCTTAAGTACTTGACTGGGTGGTTCATTGTTATATCTGTACAAGAAATTGTCTCTTTCTGAAAATGTGTAGAAGTCAAGTCCAGGGGAAAAAAAAAAACAAAAAAACCCCCACAAAATAAGTAAGAATAAGTAAAAATATCCCCCAAGTGAGTCTTTACATTGCCAAACTTTATCTTCATCATTAAGTAAAACAACAGTTTAATTTGCTTTCTTCATTACTCTTTTTTCCTCTTTCATCTGTTAGATCAATATGCATTCTGTCGCTATGTGATTGACATGTTTGCGCACGGGGATTTTTATCCAGGTACTTTCCTACATCATTGAACTCCTAATATTCTTCTGTTTTCCTGAGAATTTCTGCTTCTTTATGCATTGAAAGTGTGATTTGTGTTGCTGAAAAATCTCACAAGTGCAAAAAAGATTGTGCAAATAGTTTTAATAAAGCATAAGATCTAATAGCTGTCTTATTAAAGCTTTTAATTTTCTGTCTACTATGCATGACTTAAAAGTAAGGTTATGTTAAAAATAGAGTCAAATGAAGACTGTAGAAATTGCTAAGATATTCCATGCTTTTTGTGTGTGTGTGTGTGTGTCTGAAATACAAGAGAAAGGAGCTTATTGTTAATAGCTTATTGCTTTTTTTTTTGCCCTGCAAATAGTAAACCTTAACTCCAAAATGCTTCTAGAAGTGAACTATTGTTGCTCTTAGTACATAAAATATCTTAGCTGAGCAATCACCTCTGTGCTTTATCTTCCCCCTTTCCACATCTCCATGCTTATCTGTTCTAATACACAAAGATCTTAGGCAGAT